CTTGTGATTTAAAGCCTATCCGACCACTTGAAGGAATGGACAGCTAAGATAAAGGAAGGACATCCTCAAGGCAAGTAAAAAAGGAAAAAATAATGAGATAAAAGGTATTAACCAACTGTATTAATAGGTCCAGTTGCTGCAAAACAAAAAAATCGTAGTAAAAGCTATCATTTTCTTAAATATTTCCTTGCAGTATGGATGGATGCAGCTAAATATGCACGCATACCTGTAACCAATGAGATTATTAGTACTCAAGGAAAAATTATTCAAGCAAAGCTTGAAGAGGCAGGAGTGGAGGAGCCATATGATGGATTTGAGATATCTAATGGGTAGACACAGTGGTTTAAAATTGATATAATTTTAGATGACTATGGACATATGACCAATTGGATGAGGTGGATCAGTCTGCACTTCTAGCACAGCGGGAGAGCTTAGTTAGAGAGCTAGTATCTTTCTCTCCCAGTAACCGATACAATTTTGATAAAAGTGGACTTGTTTTTAATAAACAGTCACAATCACCTAATGTGCAGCTTGAGAAGGGTAAGCAGCTTAGAAGAGGAAAGGATGAAAAAACAAGAATCACAACTTTTCATATTATCAATGAAGCTGGAACAGATAAGAGAAAAATTTGGATAGTAGGAAGAGCAGAAAGGCCTTACTGCTTTCGTCAGCAGTGTATCAATCCTGACAATCTTCTGGTAGTTTATAGATTTAACAAGAAAGCTTAACTTCTAACAGAGTTATGGTATGAGTTTCTTCGTTGTTTCAATGACGAAATGCAAATTTCACAATGACATATCACCTTGGTTACAGATAATTGTCCTACTCATCCCCATCCTGAGTCCCCTCCACTCTAGTATACTGGACCAACTCCTCCAGTTTTAACAAATAGTAAGCTTATTTACCTTCTACATTGCACCACTTCGTTTCTTCAACCACTTGACTGTAGAATTATTGCCTCCTTCAAAGTTTCCTATAAATGCCTATATGCAGAGTACATGGTTCAATACTTCAATCTCCATGATGAAAGACCTCCCAAAATTAACATTTTACAGGCTATTTATTTGATAGTAAGTGCATGTAACTCAGTTATGGCAGATATAATTAGAAACTGTTGGATGAAAGTGAAAATCACAACACCCCCATCTGCCTTCCAAGTCAATCCTAATGAAACCCTTACCAAAGGCTTTATTTCAGTACAGTGGTGAGGGTTTTTAGAAGCCTGGACAATACTCGATAAAACATGTCAGAATCAGAATTTGTTCAATTCTTACTTTAATGATACCAATGAAGAATTCAAGACCCCCAACCCCTCTGAGAATGGCCCTCTTGTTCCTGATGTAATAGCCTTTATTGAGTGTGGGATTAATATTGGAGTTCTTCATTGTCCTTCTAATCAATTTAACAAAATTGATTATGATAGTAAGCATGATGAACAACAGCCTGTTCCTATTCCTTTAATTAGATTGGAAACCGCAATTTGCTTTACTAGTGAACTTACTCACTTGCTACAGGCACTTGAAACAACCACTCTTCCCTCTTTGAAGCGCAATAGTAATGGAAATAGCACTATGCCTGTTAATCAACTTGTCTCTTCTATGCAGAATCTGAATTCTGCTCTTATTAGGTAAATTTATTCTTCAATTATCACCTCCTCTGAGGCATCACTTATACTTCTTTGTTTTTCAAATAATTTTACCATAGCTATCGAATAACTCATTCTACTGGGCAAAATATACATACCTAATTCTTTAAGCTCAACTCTGACAACCCGGAAGAGCTGGGGGAGGGTATCAGGGATAATGTGGGAGAGGGAGAGGGTGCAAGAAGAGGAGAAGAGGAGGGGACTATTATTGATCTTGAACGCTGGTATAATTGGATGAGCAGTGAGGAGGATGATGCTGGTGGGGAGGAAGGTGGTGATACTAGCTGTGTCACAACTAAATGGGTGAGCAGACGGCATATCAATACTGCCTATGAACGATCATTAAGATAGAAACACTTTGTACAACTTCTATGGTGAGAAATTATGAAATATATTTTAGGCATCGTTTCACTATTCCGGATTTCTCGCTGATCCGGACAAAATTCATGGATTTTGGCCATCCAGGATCGCAAGGTGCATCTGTAATATGATTACTAGTTATGCTTTATTTCTCAAGAAAGGTAAATTGAGGCATAGAATACCGGTATTACGAGCTATCTCTACTAGGGTAATATGACCTTATCTTGAATACCATCCAATGTATGATATCATAAGTAAAATACACACTAATTTCTACATGGCTAATAAAATAGCCAGAATATCCCCTAGAGATTGAGAAAACAATCTGGAGTTTCGGACACTAGGTCCCTCAGATTAGATCGGGGGGGGGGGAGGTATCATATTAGGGAATTTTTTGCAAGTCTATAACTTGAGCTTCTCCAAAGTACAGTATGATACAGATACCATTAGTAGCGAGCTCTTTCTCGACCGTTATTACCACAGAAAGTGTTGGCAGAGGATATACGATATTGCCGTACCAGTATCGATAAATCAAGGGGTGTCCTGCGGAGCACCAATTTCAAGATACTAATTAGGCCTAGGTACAGCACTAGTACTCGAGTACAGCTTAAATTCGTATCATTCCAATGATTCCATAAATCTCACACTGCTGCAGGCTAATTTCCAATAGGGGGGAGATAGACGAAAGAAAAGGTGAATATGCCATAGATCTCAAATAATTGGATAGTTTGCTATGTCGCTTGAGCTAGCTCTTCTGGTAAGTTAGGGTGTGGTAATATCCTTGCTTTTTTATGTTTCCAGAGGGCTGAAAAACTCACCTTCTGCTGTGCCTTTATCTTTCACCCCCTTTTCCAGAGGAGGAAATATCGGACTCCCTGGCACGTACTTGTACTGTAGTTTAATTAAGATTCCACAGCACCCTGGTACCAGTACTGCACATCACCAACTGTACTCGAGATACAATAGCTCCCACTCTTGGTCCCAGTATCTACAGGTCACATGGGGCATGACGCGGCAGGCTCGGGAATAAATATGCTGTCAATTATACTCCTGGTGATGATGCAGTACCAGTAATAGGCAGATATGCCTGAAATATCAACAGGGCAAAAGAACTTTTAAAAAAAATCCGAGCCTATAGCGTGTCCTAAGTATTCAGAGACTTGTTTCTTGACTTTCCAAGGATTTTTGAGAGGTGATGGACTTCGTTGTCGATGTCATTGTTTCGGTTGCTATTGGTCGAATCGTTCGGGTCATTATTCTCCCGAAGAAGCAGAAACAGAAAGACTGACAGTTATTCATGAATAACACAAGTTGCGCAAAATATCCAGGGCGTGAGGATCTTTTTTTTTTTTTTTTTGAGCCGGATCTCGTGAGATTGAGGTCCCCTGAGAGTGGTACAAGTACTACTGGTATGCGAGCACTGAGCAGAGTCATCTTACTGCCCTTAACCGAGCGGATAAGTGGGGTAGGACAGTAACCGGAAGCGCCAGATCCGGTACTATGAGTGCGGCGGATAGATATGTTCGTCATGTGATAAGCTGGTGTAGAGGGCCAAGTTAGCACCGTGTTTAGTTTCTTGCTCGTTGCAACTTGCCGCTCTACACCAGCTTATCACATGACGAATATATCTATCGGCCGCACTCGTAGTTGCCATTCGTAAGTCATGCTAGCGCTATTGGGAAGTTGTCAAAGAACACGGATTTCCAAGAGCACAGTACTAGCACGAGTGCAGTTAGGGTGCAAGTACCCTACTCGAGTACAGGTACTCGAGCACTTGTATAGAAGCGAGAGTTTGACTTAATATGATACTCGTACAAGTGTACCAGTACAAGTACGAAGTACTAGTACATGGGCTTGTCCGCTAATACCCAGACAGAATCCAGAGGGAGATACCAGATACAGTACCATAATCTGGTCCAACCCACTATCAGATCATCAGCGGGAATTGCGTCGATCCACGATAGGTTTAGTTTGATAGGTTATTGTACTCGAGTACCGGCACTCAAGTACACTACAGTAACTTACCAGAATTGCGGACACCCAGCTACGAGTAGGCAGATCCAACACAGTCAGCATCCTTAGGCTTTACCTTGTGAGGAAAACACTAATCCCTCTTGGGGGTTTTTGTTTCTAAGTCCGGAGGTTAGAGGTCTGCCGGATAGTGGATTGGGCGAGATTATGCTAAACGGTTCCTGGCCCCCTCATTACGCACTGTGTCAATGCTCGGTTGCTTTGTGCACTACCATTTGGGTGGTTCTCGGATGCCCCAACAGCCGAAAACATAGCAGCGCACTGGGAAATTAGTATGATACGGAACTGACATGTTCCGCTTCAAAGCCCTAGGCGTTGTGCTCGCTTTCGCTCTATTGCCCTGTTGGGTGCAAGAATTTGCTGCTGGTATTGTAAGGGTACTAGTACTCGAGTATCGTTTTTGGTTATGGAAAATAGGACTAGTAAAAATCTACTTTACTTACCCGAAACTTGGCTGGGAGAGAGAATCTACAAAGTATCCATCTTGGTCCGTTCCCGCAACCCCTGCACTCGGCGTCCGGGGCAGGCTATTGGGCTTGCCTTGCAGGAAACAACTTCTACAGTGATCCAGGAAATATGCAATTCAGCCCTCCACTGTGAGGTCGGGATAGAAGATGGCCAAGATATTCCATTGGTCTTGGGTGGTTAAGGGACTTATGCAAGGTACTTAAGAGACCGAATGACCGTGCTCTATATCACTTTTGGATGCTACCACCACAGCCGGGATTATTGGTGAGCCCTTATAATAATACTGCCCCCCCCCAACATTCCGAAGTTCTTCGATATTATTTCGACACCTGCGATTCCAAATCCCGTCCTAATAGTCCCACGGGGGATTACAATCTCACTCGCAGCTCGAAAGATCAATTTACCTACCACAATCCGACTTATAATAAACATTGAGTTCCGCCCAATAGATTTCCGGCCATTTCAGTTCTAGTTTTCTCTCATTCCCCAGTCTACAATGTCTGGTTTTGGGGAAAAGGAGGGCGTTAGGGAAGTGGACCTGGGACCCCAAAATCGCTTACCGCCATCAATATCGTCGTCCGAGGAAACAGCTACATATAATCACCCAAATGTGCACCATGAGGACGCTATCACACCAGAGGCCGAACGGGATGTTGTAGCACTTGCGCGCAAGCTCACTAAGATGTCAACTTCACCCACTGTTATCGACAACCCGTTCAACTCAACCGATCCACGATTGCAACCAAATTCAGATCAGTTCAATGTCAAGATATGGGTGAAGACTCTCATTCAGATCATATCTCGGGACCCTGAATTATACCCAAATAGAACCGCTGGTGTCTCATTCCGGAATCTCAGCGCTCATGGATTTGGCAGTCAACAGGATTATCAAAAGGATGTATCCAATTTGTGGATGGGAGGAATAGATGTTCTTAGAAACATTGTGGGCGGCGGTAGGCCTGGAGGGAAGAGGGGGGAGCGCAAGATTCAGATCTTAAGAGATTTTGATGGCTTAGTGAAGAGTGGGGAAATGTTAGTTGTGTTGGGGCGACCTGGAAGGTATGATACGAGATCTCTCAATTTGTGCTTTGGGGTAAATGTTGATTTGGTCGCACTAGTGGGTGCACAACATTCTTGAAAACAATTGCAGGAGAAACACATGGATTTTATCTGGACAGTGAGTCTGATATCGAGTATCAAGGTTAGTAATCTCTCCCATGTGGGTATACGGTGCCTAATCTAGCATAGGTATCTCCCATGAATTAATGCACCATGACTTCCGCGGTGAAGCCATCTATAACGCCGAAACCGATGTACACTTCCCCCACTTAACCGTAGGAGAAACACTCTCCTTCGCAGCCCAAACACGTGCCCCACGAAACCGTTTCCCAGGCGTCACCCGCAAGCAATATGCTGAACATATGCGAGATGTCGTTATGACCGTATTCGGGATTTCCCACACCGTCAACACCAAAGTTGGTAACGACTTCATCCGAGGTGTTAGTGGTGGCGAAAGAAAGAGGGTTTCAATTGCGGAAGCGGCATTAAGTGGTAGTCCTTTACAGTGCTGGGACAACAGCACCAGAGGATTAGACAGTGCCACTGCCTTGGAATTCGTAAAAACTCTTAGAGTCCAATCCGAGATTTCTGGAGCAACGGTTTTGGTTTCTATGTACCAAGCTTCGCAGAGTGCTTATGATGTACAACACCTGTCCATTGTTTTCCAAAATTACATTGCTAATCGTCCTGCAGTCCTTCGACAAAGTTACTGTTCTTTATGAGGGTCGACAAATTTATTTCGGCAGCACTGAGAACGCTAAGAGATTCTTCACAGATATGGGATTCCACTGCCCTGAGCGCCAAACAACTGCCGATTTCCTCACATCACTTACATCGCCGAGCGAGCGTCAAGCTAAGCCAGGGTTTGAAAACCGTGTTCCACGTGCCCCGGATGAATTCGTTGAGGCATGGAAAAAGAGTGATGAGTATCAGAAACTGCTCCACGATATCGCAGCTTACAAGGAGGAGTTTCCGCTCCATGGGCCTCAGCTTGATGCCTTCAAGAAATCTCGTGCGGCTCAACAGGCGAAGCGAATGTAAGCTGTCTCTTCATCTTGAATCACTCGTTTGTTTTACTTATCCCAGCGCTCTAGGAATGTTCGATCCCCCTACACTATTTCAGTACCCATGCAGATTAAGCTCTGTATTGAGCGCGGTTTCCAGAGGCTTAAGGGAGACATGAGCAACTTTTTCTCCACTGTTTTCGGTAATCTTATCATGGCATTGATTCTCGGCAGTGTTTTCTACAACCTTAAGGAAGACACATCTAGCTTTTACAGTCGGGGTGCATTGCTTTTCTTTGGTGTTTTAATGAATGCTTTCAGCAGCTCTCTGGAAGTGAGTATCTTATCCCCATCGGGGTTATATTCTCCTGCTAATAAGCTCAGATTCTTACGCTTTACGCTCAACGTCCTATCGTCGAAAAACACTCTCAATATGCACTCTATCATCCATTCTCCGAGGCTGTCGCATCTATGATTTGTGACCTTCCTTTAAAGATACTTACTTGTATTTTCTTTAATTTGACGCTTTACTTCATGAGCAATCTCCGCCGGGAGGTTGATGCCTTCTTCGTTTTCCTTTTGTTCTCTTTTGCCTGCATGCTCACCATGTCTATGATGTTCCGCACAATTGCCGCTGTTTCCAGGACCATTTACCAGGCACTTGCGCCTGCCTCTTTGTTGATTCTCATGCTTGTCATCTACACCGGTTTTGCTATTCCCGTGAGAGACATGGCGGGATTTATGCGTTGGCTCAACTATATCGATCCCATCGGATATGCATTTGAGAGCCTGATGATCAACGAGTTTCACGATAGAGAGCTTCCGTGTGTGGGCTTCATCCCACAAGGGCCCGGATACGAGGAGGTTTCTGGCCTTCAAAGATCTTGCACGACTGCTGGTGCTGTTCCAGGAAGGTCTACAGTCAACGGTGACGCGTATATAAACACAGCTTTCAAATATTACTACTCTCACCTCTGGCGCAACCTTGGTATCATGTTCGCCATCATGTTGTTCTTCCTCGCCACCTACTTGATTGGTACTGAGAATATCTCTAGCGCACGTTCAAAGGGTGAAGTTCTTGTCTTCCCCCGTAAGCAACTCAAAAAAAGAGCTGCTCATGGAGATAGTGAGGCTGGTACCGTTAGTGGTGCTGTTGCTGGGAGTGAAGCTTCCAAGGCTCCCGCGGCGATCCACCGACAGACTGACATCTTCCACTGGAAGGATGTTTGCTATGACATTACGATTAAAGGCGAAGGGAGGAGGATTTTGGATCACGTTGATGGATGGGTCAAGCCCGGAACTCTCACTGCGCTCATGGGTGTCTCTGGAGCCGGGAAAACCACCCTCTTGGATGTCTTGGCTAACCGAGTGACCATGGGTGTTGTGGCCGGTGATATGTTCGTTAACGGTCGTCTACGTGATTCATCATTCCAAAGGAAAACCGGTTACGTCCAACAACAGGACCTCCATTTGGAAACATCCACAGTCCGCGAGGCACTTGTTTTTAGCGCCCTTCTCCGCCAACCCAAGAAGTATACTGAACAGGAAAAGCTGGATTATGTCGAAGAAGTTATCAAGCTGCTGGAAATGGAAGAATACGCTGAGGCAGTCGTCGGTGTTCCGGGTGAGGGTCTTAACGTCGAACAGCGCAAGCGTCTTACCATTGGTGTCGAACTTGCCGCAAAGCCTGAACTCCTCCTTTTCCTGGACGAACCCACTTCCGGGCTCGATAGTCAGACCGCTTGGTCGATCTGTACCCTTATGAGAAAACTTGCAAACAACGGGCAAGCCATTCTCTGTACCATTCATCAGCCTTCAGCCCTCCTCATGCAGAACTTTGACCGCCTCTTGTTCCTTGCCAAGGGTGGCAAGACTGTGTACTTCGGCCCCATCGGCGAAAACTCAGAGATTTTGACCAGCTACTTTGAGAAAAATGGAGGCCATAAATGCCCTCCCGGCGGCAACCCTGCTGAATGGATGTTGGAAGTCATTGGTGCTGCACCTGGTGCCGTGGCCGCCAAGGACTGGGTAGAAGTATGGAACAACAGCCCCGAGAAGGCCACTGTCCGTGCCGAACTCGATCAGATGGAACATGACCTAGGTGCATTGAGCAGAGTCGAGGGAGCTGCTATCGAGGAATTCGCCATGCCCTTCTCCACCCAATTGAGGATGTGTCTTTTGAGAGTCTTCCAGCAGTACTGGAGAACACCTGTGTACATTTACTCCAAGTCCTTCCTTTGCATCTCCACTGTAAGTCCCATCTCATCCCCCAACCCAAATATGCATTCTCTAACATTTCCCAGGCAGCCTTCATCGGTCTCTCCTTCCTCAACGCGGACAACTCGATACAAGGTCTCCAAAACCAAATGTTCTCAATCTTTATGTTAATGACGCTCTTCGGTACGCTCGTGCAGCAGATAATGCCGAACTTCGTCACCCAGCGCTCTCTCTATGAAGCCCGTGAGCGCCCATCGAAAGCCTACTCCTGGAAAGCCTTCCTAATCTCGAACATTATCGTCGAGCTCCCTTGGCAAACCCTCATGGCGGTCATCACCTTTGTGCTGTGGTACTACCCGATAGGAATGCACAACAACGCCAAGCTCGCCGGCCAACTCCATGAGCGCGGCTTCCTAATGTTCCTGCTAATCTGGTCCTTTTACATGTTCGCTTCAACCTTCGCGCACATGATGATCGCGGGCATCGAAACGGCGGAAGTAGGCAGTAACCTCTCCAACTTGCTCTTCTTACTCTGCCTCGTCTTCTGCGGCGTACTTGCTTCGAAAGACGTTCTCCCCGGTTTCTGGGTATTCATGTATCGCGTATCGCCATTCACGTACCTCATCTCGGCGATGTTGTCAGTTGGCGTGGCTAACGCTCCGATCACCTGCTCGCCCATTGAAATTGTGAAGGTTGTCCCTCCCAACGGGTCCACCTGCGGGGAGTACCTATCCCAGTTCATTACCTCCGCTGGAGGCTTCTTGTACAATCCGAATTCCACGGGTGAGTGCCGCTACTGCCCGGTCACGAGCGCGGATTCGTTCCTGAAGCAGGTTGATATTGATTATGCTGATCGCTGGAGGAATCTCGGCCTCATGTTCGTCTATGTTGCGTTTAATCTTGTGGGGGCGGTGTTCATTTATTGGCTCGCCAGAGTGCCCAAGAAGGGGAAGAAACTGTAGATTTTTTTGATATATTTCTACCATTATCTGCACGATATTTTTATTTCTTTCACATTTGGGCTTTTGGCATAGTTTCTCTTTATATATTCCTCACTCATAATCTATCTTTCATCTTTCGCACCCCCCCCCGGTTTTTAGGTTTTAATCACTCTGTATGGGCTATACATACTATAAAAGACCTTATTTTTCGGCTTTTATTATCACAGTCGCTTTAGCTAATATATTGCATGCATACCGCATGCTTCCCCCCTGGAAATGACCATCTTGAGTGAGTGATTCTTTGTGACGTAAAGGGGGCATAATAATGTATAGTAAAGTGACGGAAGCTCGTAACTTAACGGCCGACTCGGAAGTCGGGGGCAACGACCTGAACGGCATTACAACGAGTCATGAATATTTTGTCATGGTACTCTTCCGCTATACGCTTATAAATGCACAGGTTCCTGACGGCCTTTAGCGTTACATCTACAATCTGCTACCTTGTCCAAATCCCGACTTTCCCAAGGCCAAGCGTGAGGCATGCCTCTCTTCACCACTGGCATTCCGGCTGTGGTTCTTCCATTAAGCACAAAGGGGTTTGGTGGTTAGCTGGCAATGGCCAATGTTAATAATAATCCCTCTTCGCTCGAATATATATTCTTGGGGCGACAAATAAATGACGCAACAGTAGAGTGAAACAATTTGCTTTCGACTAGTTGACGCAATCATGATCCAGTCGTGTCCGTCACTAAGTTGGGTAAATGAAGTCCTGCTATCATACCAGGTATAGAATTTTACTCTGCGCCATGCGCATAGGGGTGAGGTCTGCGATTGAGGGGCAATGGGAGGAAACGAAGAAAGAATTATCTTATCTCCCTTTATTTGAGAGAGCATCTGCAAATACAGACTCTCTGGCGCTAGGATACGAAAATGAGTAAATTTGTCCATGAGCATGGCTATTTGCCATCAAGGCATCGTCTTCACCATTGGTCGCCTTGTAAACTGACCGCACATGTTCAGAAAAAAAGGTCAGGTATAGATAGCTACTCCCTGTAATATATATATATAATTATATATATATATGGTTCGTTCGATACGATAATAGCTTCAGTAGATTTCAAGGTTTTACCAGAAACTTTCAGAGGATTTTATCACTCCACACAGTATCAAAGGATTGGCGTCATGTGAGCATTGGGCTAGCTTTACTCAGAACCGCATAATTCGTATGATAAAAAGGGATGAATAATTTCAGAGTACCAACCAAAACCCAGCAACCTCGTATCACACGAAGTCACTCGTTTCACAGTCCCTAGATAACTATATTATCTCACATATGGGCACCGGCAGGGTCTGTCCACCAGGCCTAGTAGGATGCGCCCCAACGGGTCCCTAAAAGCTACGAAAGTAGAAGCGCTCCCATGCACACACTTACCAGCATACTCCCCGAAGGGATTATGAGCATGTACTCGGGGGTGCATGAAAGTGTTTAACATTTTGTGGCGCATGTGGCATCAGTTCATGGTGCATGCCAAAGTCCCAGTAAATAGATGAGTACTAGTAGCATTTAGAATGACTTCGGTTTTTCAATAACTAGAAACGAGTAGCTTTTCCATTTGCTGCAATAATTGCTCTGAGGCGGTCAGGCATAGATCTAATCAACTCATCTAGCCTTTGTGAGCCAAATTGACTCCATGCCTCTTTCAAAGCCTGCTTTAAAAAATTTAAATAAGAAATCCTCCCATATCTCTTGCGTAAATAAGACTCCATGTAATGTGTTCGCTAGGTGCTAATCCCATTTCTGGGTAGGATACAATAGTTGACAGATGGCCTGCTCTTCCAGAGAGGAAGCAAGAGCCTCGAACTAAAAGAGGCTTCAAAAGTGTACTGGGAAAACTAAAGAAGTAACCATTCAACCAAGTATACTGAAATACTGCTGTCGAAGTCTACCTCTTCCATTGTGGAATCAGACAGTCTTTAAATACATAAATCTGTTCATGTCTAGCTGTTAGGTGGAGGCAATCTGTATAGACTTCAGAATAGCCTAAGCCAATCGAGATTCATTTTTGTAGACCGAGATTTGACTTAAAAGGCTCAAAGGGATACTCATTTTGTTTATGACTGCTAAGAGTGAAGTAATGTAAAATAGAATCGTATAAACAATGTTATATTGTTAAGGTTTCTTCTCCGTTGCTTGATTATATCTAAAAGCTTGAGAGGCACTTTGATATTTATATTCCATGTCTGAGTATTTGCAGACTACATCTATTTCTCATACAGATTATGTATCTCTCTAATTATAACTCACAACACCAGATATCCCCCAGAAGTTCAAACACAGGGAGACCCTGAAAACTATCACATTCTCTTTAGTAATCACTATTTTGCCAGTTGGAAAACTGTGCTATTTCCAATAGTAATTAACCAATTTTCAGAGTTTTTAGACTTATAGCTTAGTAGTTCTCAAGTCGAACTATGTTGGCCCCAATTGCCTCTCTTATCAAGAAATGATCACTTTTATCTTAAGTCTGTGTTTTTAGGAGTAGTCGTAAATGCAACCTTTTTAGGTTGCTGACTTCAAACCTTAATTACTCCAGATCCAACTGATGGACTTCTATCAGATAACTTCCTACTAATTTGCAGGAAGCCATTCTACTATATTGGCAGATAATTCCTTAGCTGGTAACTCCTGATTATCCTAAGTAATTGGTCTTTGGTCAATATATAGTATTGGTGATAATTCCTACAACTACAGCACATCCCTTGACCTAGTTACAATACTCCATAAAATCTATTGGCTTTTTCAGTAGTGCTTCCTAGGATTTCTAAACTCTTCTAGTTTTCATAAAGTGGATGTTAATGAGTTGGCTCTTAGTAAAGATCCTCTAACATTCAATACCATATCTTTGTGCAAAAACATCCTGTTACTTACCATCAATATCAGAGATATTCAATCTTTGAAGCCTTGTAACTCTCTGGATAGTTTACAGATTTACTCAGTTCCACTTCACAGACCTTGCCAAAAGTCTCCTCTTATATATCTCGTAAATAGGATCTAGTTGGACAAACAGCAACAACATATATAGTGTTATTCCTACACCTTCAATTTTGTAGTATTATAGTCACAGAACGCCACTAAGATAGATCAGTGTAATAATGTGCAGGCCCCATAAGGGAGCCAGAGGATGGTATTAGAGATTAGAGATTCCAATTCTGAGTGGGATTACCCTACTTAAGGTGGTTTCTAGGTATCAGATCCTGATACTCCTAACACTAGCATAAATGAAACTAATTAAAGATATCAAATGATACTCTTTAGTAAAACAACTTAAGTATCAAGTGATACTCAAAATATAATATAGAATAAACTAAGTATCAAATGATACTTAAAACAAACTAAGTACCAAAATGATACTTGAAATAAAACATAAAACAAACTAAGTATTAAAACAATACTTAAAACAAAATATAAAACAAAACAGTAACGTGTTCGCAAGGTGCTAGTCACGTTATCGGTAAAGATACGATAGTTGGCAGGTGGCCTTCTCTACCAGAAAGGAGGTGAGAGCTGAAAACTACAGGAGATTTCGAAGGTGTACTGAGGAACAAAGAAGTAACCGTTCAACCAAGTATATTGAAATACTGTCTGTCAAAGTCTGCCTTTTCCATCGTGGAATCAGGTGGTCTTTAAATACACAAATCTGTTCATGTCTCGCATAAACAAAACTAATCAAAAGCATCAATCAATACACTTTGGTAAAACTAATTTAAGTATCAAAGCGATACTTAAAACAAAATATAAAACAAAACCAAGTATCAAAGCGATACTTAAAACAAAATATAAAACAAAATCAAGTATCAAACAATACTTAAAACAAACCAAGTATCAAAGCGATACTTAAAACAAAACATAAAACAAAACCAAGTATCAAACGATACTTAAAACAAACTAAGTATCAAAGCGATACTTAAAACAAAACATAAAACAAAACCAAGTATCAAACGATACTTAAAACAAACTAAGTACTAAAGCGATACTTAAAACAAAATATAAAACAAAACCAAGTATCAAACGATACTTAAAACAAGCCAAGTATCAAAGCGATACTTAAAACAAAACATAAAACAAAACCAAGTATCAAACGATACTTAAAACAAACCAAGTATCAAAGCAATACTTAAAATAAAACATAAAACAAAACCAAGTATCAAACGATACTTAAAACAAACCAATAACCAAGTACCCATACCGGTTACAAAAACCAAGTATCAAAAACAATACTTAAAACAAAACCTTTAACCAAGTACTACCTGTACCAGTTACACTCCATATTCTGGCACGAAGATTCAATTAAATTAAGATCTGGTAACTGTAAGTACCAAGGAAAATGCTCTACTTTTTTTTTTAACCTCAACTTAGTAGCATGTTTCTTCTAACGTAAAGCACAGTGATGTGACACAGCACTATGATGTGATACTCACCTTGGCGTCATGTGAGACCTGGTATTATCTGAACATCAATCCCGCTTCTGCGCATGAAAATAGTGAAATCGATAACACAACCATCAACTATGGGGAAAGTGACAGCAAGGAAGACTTCTAAATATGAAGAAAGACTCCAGAGAGTGATCAAGGCTACAAAGCGACTGCAAAACCCAATTCCAGTATCTAAGGGAGCAGAAGAATTCCAAGTAAACAAGCGAACCCTCTACCAATGAATGAAGAGCACTCATCGGAGCCGCATTGAGTCACACGAGAATCAACAACGCCTCTCAAACTCAGAAGAGGTTGCCATTGTCCGCTGGTGTCAGCGATAAGATGATAATGGCTTTCTACCACTGCTTGATATAGTGAAAGATATGGCAATTTTCTTGAAGCGGAAGTGGACAGGTGTGGAGCCATTACTGGTGGGGCAGAATTGGATCAATCGCTTTCTGACCCAGAATCCATCCTTAGCAGCCAAGCTAAGTACACGGCTAGAGCGTCAGCGATCGTATGCAAAGGACCCTGCCCTTTTGCAAGAT